ATGATTGGAATATAATTTTTCTTTTTTGTAATTCTTAATTGGTCTTGGGATAAAGGTTATACTAGTCTCATCGAATGAGTTGGGGTGGTAAGGTTCTTCTTCTCTATAAAAATGGAATGATTTGTCCCTTGAAAGTTTTGGTGGAACTTCTTTGAAAAAACATCTGGGCCTACTGGTTTCTCGATAGAAAGATTTGACTAATTAAATTTCCTTAAAGGTTTCGGATTACAGAAAGCTTCCAATTCTACTTAAACAGTTTTGGAAAGTTATGTTTTTCTAAAAATGTGCCTGTGTTTTAAAATTAGTTGGCATCAAGTTTTCTTTAGTGTCCTCTTATATTTTTTAACCTTTACTTTTAATATAATTTAAACTTAAAATTGCAAGAAAAGCCCAAAGAAACCCCACTCACTATTTGCACACTGAGATCTACCACTTGTTAACAGCGACACACATTTACTTTCACATTCTCATTTCCTCTCTAAGCTGCACATACCATGGCTCTGTACCACTAAATAATTAAATGATCTCATAGGAAAAAAGACATTGCCCTACATAACCACAGCACAGTCACCAAAATTAAGATTTTTAACATTATTCAATTCCTGGACAATGAACTGCACGTTTGCTAAAATATAGAAGTATGACTAATTTTTATATAAACAGTAGAGTCTACATAGTTGATGACCTGCACATATCAGTACAGTCGGTCTAGGTCCTTACACTGATCTGTTTGTTACAGTCCCTTAAGTGGTCAACTTACAGAGGTTCCACTGTATATATGTGTATATGTAAAAATTGCAAGAATGTATATATATACACACACAGACACACACAAATTGTACATTACCAATATATAGAAGTGCAGGTGACTTTTGTATATTGATAATATTCTGTAATCTTGTAAAAAAAAATCCCTTATTAGCTATAGCAGCTTCTTTTGTATATTTCATTGGATTTTCTACATAAATAATGTTACCTATAAAGAAAAACATTTTACTTCTTCCTTTCTAAACTGGAAGGACGCTCTCGGGTTTTTTTGTTTGTTTGTTTTTTGCTTATTCCACTAGCTAGAACAATGTTGAATAAAAAGTGACTGCAAAAAGAAAGAAATCCTTGTCTTTTCCCTTTTTGCCATTATGTATGATTTAACTTATCTGTTTTTCACAGATGCCACTCATCAGTTGAGAAGGCTTCCCTGTATATTTCTAGTTTGCTGAGAATTTTTATCAGTAATAGATGTTGGATTCTATAAAATGCTTTCGCTGCACGTACTGAGAGAATCATATAGTTTTTCTTATATAGTTCCTGGCTTTCCTTTTCCCAATTATCCTTATAATAAAACCTCATTGGATCTTCCATAGTTTTAAAATTTCTCTTTCATATTTTCTGGACTTTATTCTGGAAATTTCATTAATCGTATCTGATAGGACTCAAATTCTCCCTTTAGATTACATACTCTTCTGTTTAAAACACTTTCTGCTGACTTTCTAATTTCAATAATTTTATTTTTATTTCTAAATGTCCTATTTGATTCATTTATAGATCTACCTAGTAATTTTTTAAAACACTTGTTTTTCATTTTTTATTCTATTTTTAAAAATATTTAATATATAGATATTTTACATTCTTCATTAGATAATTCTAATATCCGAAATCCATAGCATCTTTGAGAAGTTCCTTAGGAGTCTACAAGTTGTTTTGTATTACTTCTATTTCTTCTGCTGACTCTCAATCATAGCCTCTAGTTTCTTGAAGAGATAGGTGGTTTTTAATTGTGAGCTTATATTTGTGTGACCTTAATATATGGAGAACTCTGTGACTGCATTTGTTTCTTGTGGGAGTGAGGTGTTGTTACCAACTGAGAAGCATGTTAGCCTCTATCCAGGATCTTAGTTTAAAACAAGACTTTCACGTCCATTCTTCCATCTTGCTAGAACCCCAAACCCTGGAGTGCTGATCTCATCACTGATATGGATATTTGGCCTCAGGACCCTAGCTTGTGCATTCATTTATAGCCTACCAATCCTTAGCTATTTTGTCTCTGCATGTCTATGTATCTGACTTCGTATGCCCCAGAAAGATTCCCTTACTCCTTACAAGCTTGATAGTGCATTAAATATCATGGTTTTCTAATTTATCTAGAATTTGTTTGTACTGTACTGACAGACCCCTTAAGAATATTTGGTTCCCATCTAAGTAAAAGCAGAAATCTTTTAATCTTTACAGATAAGAGTATTTACTAATAATATCTGACTTGGAAATCCAACTGGTTTATCCTTATTTAACGTTTTAATCAAATTGAGATGCCACAGATAAATAAGTTGAACATTTTTCTTATAACATTAAAAGTATTTCAAATTTGGGTGTGCTAAAATTTTCCTGAGTATTTAATGTTATTATCAAATCATTTGCTAAGTCTAAAAGGTCAAAACACCACACTCTTTTACATACTTAGAGATCTCATTAGTACTATAGCTGCTCAAAATGTTGAACATATCTCAAATTTAGCTTAATGCATCCTACACACATGATTACAAGATTCTCTTCGATGATAAAAATTGCTAGCTTAGAAAATGAAAGTATCATATCTACACTCCCCCGCACAGCTAAACTGGCTTGATTCTGCAGATGAGAACATACAACCTGTTTTTCACTGTGTGGATCCTTAATAATTTGTTAATAATTTGCTATACTAACTTTCAAGCAAAGTGTTATATACAGTATTGATGATTATATAGTGATACAGGAACTCTCAATTGGTTTTAAAAGATGTCAAAATTGAGCTTCTAATGTCTGATCCGCCCAAAATTCTCATTTAAAAATAAAATGTTTCATCCATTCATGTAAACTATAGAAAATGCAATATAGCAAGAGAAAAATAATATTCAACATTAAAATGCCATGATAATATGAATTTATAAGCATGAACAAGTCTTTTCAAAGTATCTTATGAACTAAAAATAGGCTAATTGTGCAAGTCTTTCCAGGACATTTATTAAAGCAAAAGCAGAATTAGTTATCTCAATTAAGGAGCAACTTTCAAAAAGCTTCACTGTACATTTAAACTAAAATATTTCTAAGATTTGATATACCTGATACAATTTAAACTAAAATATTTCCAAGCTTTGGTATACCTGATACAATTAGTCCAGTTTTATTTTATACTCAACTCATTTTTGTCCTCTTTATACTCTGATGTATTCTTTTTATCATGAAAACTACTGTAAAACCTTCAGAACTAACAGAGCAACACAAAAACAATGATCATGGAGAAGTTTTGTTCTCCTCTTGAACATTCCTAAGATTAGACTTCAAATCCTAGTGTGTATATATATATATACACTTTTTTCCTATGAGATATACACACACACACACACACACACACACACACACACACAGAGTTCTGTCATCCAAAATTAAATATCTTAGCAAATACCAAGCATAGCTGGAAATATTAAACTGAAAATTTTAAAGTTTGTGCTGTTTTGTTTGGGTTTTTGAGGTAAGATCTTGCTGTATTACCTGGCTATGGCCTGGCCTTGTCCATGTACCTTTTACGCTTTGGTGATTTTGATTCATATTCTTTCCCGGTCATAGATCACAGGTCTGTGTATAACTATATTATAAATCATCCTAATAAATCACCAAACTTGGGGGCTGGTCTTTGAGATCCTCAACACAATATATAAAATATTTAAAATTATAAGTTTACCAAGGAAACTATACCAGCAGTTCTCAACCTGTGGGTTGCGACCCACAGGAACTGCATTAAAAGGGTGTGGCAAGGAAGGTTGAGAACCACTGATCTATACCATGATGTTGGAAACTTAGCATCTTTTTTCTCCTTTGGAGCACTGAGGATTAGAATTTAATGATCAACAGAATAACTAGCCATTCTATTATCATACCAGAATGAATATAACACAGAACTAGGGATTCCTATGCATGAAAGGAATTCTTATGGCCCATGAGGCTAGCAGATTAGGGGACTGCAGAATGGAGACCTCAGAATATGGAAAATGAGTATAGCAGTGTGCATTATGGAAAAAAGCAGTCCTCAGTGAATATATCATAATGACCTCTATAATTTAAATTTATTACTTACAAAAAAGTTTCATCTTATTCTCTAGCATAACATCTAAAAATATTTACAAGCTATCATTGTAAACTTCTGATCCCCACCCACCCCCCCATCCCCCTGCCTTCTCCCATTCCCCCGTCCTACAGGCAAGTTCCTGTTCTCCCTGCCTTCCCTCATTCCCCCACCCAACGGGCATGATCCTGTTCCCCCGCCCTACGGGCAACCTCCTGCCCTCTCCTATCCCCCACTCCTCCACTCTACGGGCCTTCCAGCCACGTTCCCATGCTCTCCGGAATTCAAAGAGGCATGGAAAGTCCCAAGTTTCACAAAACCCCCAAGTTCTCAGTAGATGAACAATGGTAGAAAACTCACCATGGCTTGTTAATTACTGTTGTATAACCATAACCATTGTGATTTAAGATATATCCATTAATCAATTATTGTTATATAATCATAACCATTGTGATATAAGACGTATCCATTGACAACCAAGCTGTAACCCTGCCAATGGCAATGTTCCTCCTCCCCGCTGCTCGCTTAAGCTACACAGAGAAAAAAAGGTATAAAAGACAAAAAATCCTGCACTTCAGGGCCCCTTGTCTCAGAACAACAGCCCCTGCGCAGGTGAGAATAAACCACCAATTAATAGCATCTGAGTGGGTCCGAGTTTATTTTTTCATAACTCCAAGGTTATTTCATCATTTATTTGACAGAAAATGAGAAATTAGTCTATAATAGTATCACTGCCAGCATCTACTTCCTAAATAAACATGATTGCAATTATTGTTAGGAACGTTTATAGTTCTCAAGAAATACACTTTTCTATTGCCATCTGACATGCAGCCATTCTACAAGGTAGTAACATAAATGATCCTGCTTTCTACAAAAATGATATGAAAATATTTTCACTTAAACATACCTTAATTATTTCTTCAATGAAACAAATGTGAGAAACAGGATCTCTCTTTTTAGCTAATACTTTTTGTAGATGTTGTACCTAAAATAAAACAAATGTAAATCTTAGGCCCTAGAGAACGCAAGGGAAGGGAAATGGCATTATGCTAGACTCTTAACCCACATTATAATCAGCTAACAGATGTATTTTGAATGCTCAGAGATTTTAACAGACCTGTCCAAGGTCATATGATTTGGAATGGCCAGGAGGTAATCCATAATTACCATTCCTTCTACTCCTTAAAATATTTACCTGTCCACAAACAACACAAATGTGATCCATAAGTTTTTCCATATTGGTCCAGAGGGTAGCACGGAAAGCTGCAGTGTTCCCTGGGGTTGGCATGGTAGATCGTCCAGGACCCCCTAGTTATGAAAGAAAAGAAATATGAAAAATAAAATTTCCAAATACAACAAAATGTTTGTTATTATAAAGAGCATGCAAAAGCTAAAAGTGACAAGTTCCTTTTCTAAGAACTATGGAGTAATGAATGATATAAAAGAGAATTTTAACATTTTGTGTTTAAGAAAAAGAAACAAAACACAGACACATAAGACCCCCCACACTGAGGAAGCTTAACACACAAATTGATGAAAATGGTTTTCCTCAAGGGGCCTGAGGATGTTGAGAACTGAAACAAGGTAAAAGGTACAGGAATAGGAGTGAGTCTGGATCTGCTTCCCAATACCCTCATGCCCCTTGTAGAAAATCATTTTCATCACTTACCATTTTATCCTTCCTGGATGTGGGAGCGTAGTGTATATGTGTATGTGTTACTTTCCCATTCTTTCTTAAAACAAAACAACCCCCCCCAACTGAATATAAACAAATACAGAAACAAATGAATTATCTATACATTGCATTGATAATAAAACCACACAGGAGGAAAATAATTCAAGAAATTTGGGTTTTTTTTGAGACAGTCTTACTTTGTCACCCAGTCTAACTCACAGCAATATCAAACTCCTGGGTTTAATGAATGTTCCTGCCTTAGCCTCCTGAGTAACTGTAGCTATAGGCCCTGGCTAACTTTACTTAATCTACTTTTCATTTAAACATAGTAGGCCCTGCTAATTTTATTTCATCTACTTTTAGTAGTTAGGGACTTGCTCTTGCTCAGGCTGGTCCTGAGCTCAAGGGATTCTCCTGCTTCCACTACCTGAAGTGCTAGGATTATAGGTGTGGCCACCTCACCCTACCAGTTCAATGAATTTTAAATCATAGAATACTAATTTTAGTGAGATATATTACATGGGCAAAAAAAATTATGAGCAGATATTAAACTTTACTGTATAGATTTGTTGCTGAACGTGGTACTGATACAGTAATTCTGAAACTGGGTATATTTTATAATACATGTATAGCAAATGAAGGTTCTCACCATAAACAGAATAAAGATACAAATATACACTGGGGATTAGAGGTATCTTCCAACTCAGTCCACTGCAAGAGCAAAAGGACAATGACCCCTCAATAGTAATAATCATACCTTGTATCCAAATTTTGATTTCTAAGCTCCATTACCCAATAAAAACAAACAAACCTGGACTCAGAGAGAAAAGAATGATTCCATATCTGGAAAATACAAGGTGAATCTTGATATATTATGCTAGGGAGCAAAGAAGTGTTCAAGGACAAAAAGGAGATTGTTCAAAGACAAATGGAGATTTATCAAATTTGAACTTGACTGGAGGGGGCTTCCACAAAACAAACTAGGGGAAAGATGGTCATCTAAAACAATATTGACGGTAATAAATTATAAAACAATGACTAAAAAAAAAGTATGAGTTCATAGTGAAACTCAAATGTTTAAAGAGAATGGGAATTGTTCTCTACAAAAGAATGCAAATTACTAAATGCAGAAAGAATTAGAAAAAATTCAACATTTTGCAACTACTCGTGTAATAATGAAGGTGAGATTATCAACGAATACCAAAATACTAGGTAAAATTTTCAGGGGAACAAGATATTCACATAGTCTCAAAGTATGCACCAAAAGGACTCATCACAAAGAAAAGAGATTACTCTGACAAGGGCAATCTGGTATACCCCACTTTTAATGAAAGGATCTCATTTAGCATCAGCAACAATGGGACAAACTGATATGATTTTGTTGTTTCAGATATGATGTAATGGGACATATATAATATCTGCTTACTACC